TATATATATATATATATAATATACATATATATATATATATATATATATATATATATATATATATATATATATATATATATATATATATATATATATATATATATATATATATATATATATATATATATATATATATATATATATATATATATATATATATATATATATATATATATATATATATATATATATATATATATATATATATATATATATATATATATATACAGGGCCTTCCCAAAGAGATTTTAAATGGGAGGTACCGTGTCTGTTTTTTGTCGACCAAAGCCAAAATATTTGTAAAGATATTTAGGTTATAATATTCATTTGGTTAATATCTATACACTAATTGTAAAGACGACTAAAAAAAGATAAAGATCAAAAAGATTTGCAGAAAGTTTGCATTGATTATTTTTTATAAACGATGGAAATAACTTCGCAGATAAATTAGCTCCGGGAAAAACATATCTGTTTTTCAGATATGGTTTCGAACCATATCTGAAAGAAAAGGGTTTTAAAATAGATGAACTTAAGGTTTATCTATTTTTCCTGAAAAATTCGTTATACTTGCTATTAAACCAAGTAAGCAAAAATCCTTGATGATATGAGACCTAAGATTTTTAAAGAGGTTTTTGCTATTGTTGGATACCTCTTATATTTTATTTGTAGTCTTTTTTTGAAAAGTGGAGTTTTTTCTGACTTAATGAAACAAGAGCAATTTCGGCAATATTATCTAACTGATCTGACCAATCTTAATGCTTTAAAAAAAAAAATTTATGTGAATAATTATTCACATAAAATTTTTTTTTTAATGCATTATAATGCATAAAAAACTTTGCAACTACTTTACAAATCGCAAAGTTTTTAACAATTGGTACAGGTTTAAAAAGAGTAATTCATCAAAACATGGACTAGTCAAATGATTTTAGGAAATTTTAAATGGGTTTGAAAAAAGCCAATATATTCAAAGGGTTTTTATTGATTTCTCAAATACTTTTAATACTGTTGACCATGGTATTCTTTTTTAAAAATTTGAAAATTTTTAAGTAAAAAATGTCAACCTTAAACGGTTTTGCTCCGATCTGAAAAAATGTAAACAATATGTGTCTTATGACAAAAAATTTGCACCTGATTATTTGCGGTGTTCCACAGAGATTTATATTAGGCCCAATATTGTTTATTATTTGTATGAAAAATATTTACAAATAATCTAGTATACGTAAAGTCAATCTTTTTGCTGACGACATTCCAGTGTTTAATAAATATTCTAGCATCACGAATATTTTTTAATACATATTCTAGCATCACGAATATTTCTTGACATTCTCAATAAAGAGTTTAAAAATAACTCTATTTGAAAACAACTAATCTTTTCTAACCTTTCTAAATCAGACATTTTACCTTTTAAGCTTCCGAATATATTGTAGAGAAGACGTAAATACAACGGACATTACACTGTCTTTGTATTAAAATCTTATATTTGCTACTCGATGAAAAATAAACTGGAAGCAACACATGGAACAAGTAAGTTGAAAACATTAATTTAACAGAAACCAAAATCTCAAAAAACATAGGAATTAGGTATAAAACAAGATATATGCTGAATAAAACTGTTTAAATTCAACCTACTTTTAATTATCGACAACGTACCTAACATATAAAATGAATGTTAGGGAGGAGGGTGGGGGGTAAAGTCAAATTTTACCAATAATAATTTTTTTCTTCAAAAAAAATATAATAATTTTAAAAAATGTTGCTAATAGAAATCCTTATATAGAAATTTCTATTGAGATACAGAAATTGGGAAAAGAAACCATATTTAAAAAAAAAAAAAAGATTTTTATTGGCAAAATTTTCAAAGCTGTTATTACATATTTGTCATCACTTCCTGCAGCATGTAAAAAGAAGTAAATAAATATATTTGTTGAAAAATCATATAACTTTTTCAGAGCAAAAACAACTTTAACTTTAAAATTAACTTTAATTTTAAAAATAACATTAGTTCTAAAAACAGCTTAAAAAATTTTAAAAAAGCATTAGACAACATTTTGTCAAACTATAAGCAAAGTCAAGATAAAAAGAGTATAAAATTAACTATAAAACTATATATATATATATATATATATATATATATATATATATATATATATATATATATATATATATATATATATATATATATATATATATATATATATATATATATATATATATATATATATATATATATATATATATATATATATATATATATATATATATATATATATATATATATATATATATATATATATATATATATATAATATATATATATATATATATATATATATATATATATATATATATATATATATATAGTTATATACATTGCTTTCTTCTAACTTCAAAGTAAAGCCATAAGAACTTATTTGTTCCGGTAGATATTTTAATAATAAACTACCTGAAAAATTGTCTTAAAAAACGTATATAAATAACAAAAAAAGAATGTATGAAAACGCACAACGCTATAATTACTTACTCAATTTGAATACATATTTGTGTTGTCATAGTTCACTTTTTTTACTTTTGATAAATCATATTTACTTTTGTTCAAATTATTAGCAAGAGATTGATTAGACAATCTCTGTGATTTTATTAAGAATCTTTTTAAAATACAAGTTGTATTTTTCATTTCTTTTATTTTTAAATCACATTCAGTTAAAATTTTTTACAGTTTTTCAAATTTACTTATCCAATCTGCAAACGTTATTTCTTTTTTCAATAAATTATCATTACTTGGTTGGGATTCTTAGAGAGTTTGGTCACAGAAACTCAGAAATCTAAACAATCTTGTTATTTCATCATTATCTAGATATTCACAGCACTTATCTGCTCAAGTTCAATTTCTGATGATTCATATTTAACTGCTTCAGAGCTTTTGTTAAACTTTCATAGCTACTTATTTCCTCTATATTTTTAATGTTGCATGAGCTAAGTTGCTTAGACTAAAAATCAATTTTAAACAAATTTATTTTACTGCATGATTGGGAATTTACTGTTGAGTTAATTCCAAAAAGTTTGCGCCATACTTCTCATAAGTTATCCAGTTACGATTTCAGATAAGATCAAAATTATAAATCCAATTTTGTATTCGTATTTATGAGAATATTTGTTTTGGCGTAACCTAATGGCGTAACCTAAAGAACAATACTCTACTTTAAGTTTTAGGTTGTGTTCGATACGCTGGTGGAACAATCTGTTATCAAAAATAAATTGCTTATAAACAGAGATAAATTTGCTGATTAACGGAGTTTATCATTTAAAAAAAAATAGTTATAATGGTGCTTCAAGCAGATCTAACGTCATTGAACGGTCTTGTCATAGAGCAACTTAGACAAACATTTAAAGTTTTTATAAGTTGTTAATATGGCAAGAATGTTTAATAAAGTTTAAATAAAATAATGAACGCAAATTATAACAGCGGAGTTTATAAGTTAGTCCAAAATATCAAATTTTAATTGTTTGCAATTAAACTAAATTTTGAAAATGTACGCCTAAAAAGTGAATAATTTGAATACTTCAGTATTTAAAACCTAACTTGTAGGAATGTAACTTACAAGTACAGACAGTATAGTTCTTTTTTGTATTTCGCCAAACCTCTTTTTGTCTTTCATCAAACTTCTATTTGCTAAACTTCTTCTTTTAAAACACTATTATCGAATCTTTTGCGTTAAAAACAAATCAAAATTTTAGCTTTTATCTCTTTCTGTGCAAGCATTAAATAAACTAGTTTATTGTTGAGATATACGATTGTGGTTAGAATGTATTTATATATTATAACAATAAGTCAAGTAATGCTAATAGTAATCATTCATAATTTTTAATTCACGATAAAGATTTTTTGCTCAAAGTTACTCTGGAATAATTACTTTCTATTTTTTTTTCTTTTTTAAGTTTTCTAGTTTTATTTTATTTTACGCAGAAGATTTTGCTGCTAAATTTAAAAAAAAAACTATGTGAAATTTGAAATAAAAAAAAAAACTCTGTGAAATTTGAAAAAAAAAACCCTCATCTGAAGCTCCAAAAAATTTTTTACACACTCAGTGAAGTTTGAAAAAATTTCACAGAGTGTGTAATTTTAATTCTACCCAGCAAAATATTTGCGATTTAAACGACCTAAAAATGCAAAAATTGAAATTTAACAAAAGCCCCAAAATTTTCTTTAGCACAAAAGAAAAACTGATTCTTTTTCTCCATTAAATGTAAAGTAAACTGAATAGAATCTGTTATTTATTTTCACATTTAAAACCATATTTAAAGTAAAAATGTAAACTTTTACGTATGGAATATTAAATATAATGCTATCAGAACTATTTAAAATATTATATTAAATGAACTAAATGAGCAAAGACAAATATCTTTTTTATTTATAATTAAGCCTAAATTTTTAAAAGTTCAGTAATATATAAATGTTACTAAAAGAATATTTTATAACTGACTATCACTTATATTTACACAGTGATAGTCAGTTAATGTATTTGTAACTAACACAGATACTTTTAGTCACAGCTTTCAATCTTTTAGAATATTTTTTAAAAACATACTTGATAGAATTTATTTGATTAACACAACCTAGTTTAAATTTTTTTCTTTCTGGAAATTTATTACAAAGAAATTGATGCGATCACTGACAACAAAAACTTCCTAGTTCACATGTTTTATTAATGCATTTTGAATCTTTTTTTTGTTGTTGGAATGTCTGTTTTTATTTAGTATTTTTTTATTTAGTATTTTATTTATTATTTTGATTGCATTGCCATCGTATTAATTAAAATACTAAATAAAATACTAAAACTACTAAATAAAACTTTTTTTATAAGCTGAAAAATAAAAAATTCCTATTGACTAAGGTTGCAAGGTTAAAAAATAAGATAAAATCGTGCGTGATTAATTACGTAATCCAACGTTAAGAATCGTACGCCAGAATGAATGAAAGAACTCGGTGAAGAAAAACAATTATTTTTTAAATAAATATTTTACCGAACTGCAAAAATAAAATTATTTTAATCTAAGATAATATTTCAATATTTGGATTTTAGGCGAGATCTCTCGATATAGTCTGGATTCACACATAGCATGTTTCTAAAAATAGTGAAGATGAAAAAATAATTAAAATATTTCGTTTGAAAAAAATAGTTACCATAAAAACAGGCTTGAAACTTATAGCCGCAATACTAAAAAAAATCTTATTTTTAAGGAGGAGAATTAATAAGATAAATGAAATTTACCTTTTCAAAATTGTGTAAGGACAATAAACATCACATGTATTTGACGTGGAAATGTGTCCGCTTTCTTCAAAACGAGCATTCATTCCCGTCCAACCTTCAACACATATACAACGCCCGGTTAAGTTATCGCATCGTCCGTCATTTTTACCGCAATCTTTATGACAAAGGCTCGGTAATATTTTTTGCGGTAAACATTGTGGATTTCTAAATTTTGATTTATAATATATTTAAAAAATAAAATAAAGTACACTATTTTTAATAAATTAGTTAGACATGAATTTTAACAAGTTAATAGAAATGATAAAAATTAAATAAATTAAATAAATAAATAAAGTCACATACGGAATTCCAAATCCAAGATCGGGGCATTCTTTATCGCAGGTTTCGTTAGTAAAAAATTTTCCGAGTTTATGGTCAAACCTTCCTTTAATTGAACTTGTCCAACCACGATGGCATAAACATTGATCACCGACACATTTACCTCTACCAGTAGATTCGCATTTTGTTTTATTACAAGTCAAATTTTCTTGATAAGAAAGGACACAAGTCGGATTTCTTTTTTCATAAAAATAAAGTTTTTATCAAAAACAAAGTTACACATCTCTAGGTTACACATCTAAAGACTCTTTAACATGAAATTTTTATTGAAATAATTAAAAAAAAAAAGCACAAAGTAAAAGGACAATTCACTTACGAAATAGTATCGTTTTAGGATAATTTAAAAGTTTTAAAGTTGTAAAGTTTTAAACAATAATCTTTTTTTGTAAATCTTATAAATTTATTTTAGTTTGATATCATTGTTATTATGTTATAAATTCATTTTTTAGTTGAACATGTTTATGATCTAAAACAAGTGTTTTAAAGGCATATCTAAGACAACCAATAAAAGTTTAAAGAAGTACCTAAATATCTAGAACAAGAAATAGAAATTAAAGGCCGACGACACCAGGGGGGCTTTATTTCTAAAGGATCTTTTTTTTTTTTTTTTTTTTTTGAAAAATTTTGATATAGAGGACTTTTTCCACATTGTGCCCCCCTACTTCAAAATCCGTATCGTCGGCCCTGAAATTTAAAGAAATATCTAAATAGCTAGAACAAACAATAAAAGTTTTAAAGAAATACCTAAATATGCGAGTGTAGTAACACTTTTTATCGCAATTGTCTGCAATGATTCGATTCATCCCTTCAGTTTGATTATGGTAGTACGATCTTGGTCCTGTTCGTCCGTATTCACAAACACATTTTACGCTTCCCATCGGCGTTGTAACACACAATCCGTAAGGGTGGCAAAGTGAACAAGGTTTACAGCTTAAGCCAACATTGTTGCAAAACGTTTTTGTTGCAACTAAAAAATTAACTAATCAAAGTAAAGGCATTCAATAAAATAAAATGAAAAAAAGAAGCAAAACCTGTTACTTTTATCAGAACTATCGCCTTCATTACTTTTCATTTTTAAATCTAGCTCACGTGCAAGTTCCTCTATTAACTCTTCGAGTAAATTATCTGCGGAACAAAATGCTATCCAACCTAACACGAGGAAAACTTGAAGCTTCATTCTTATTCGATTTTGACTAAAAAACAGACAAAAAAACGCACAAAAATACCAATTTATTTGCTCTTTCATTCCCTAAGGTATTTAAAAAAAAGGTATTTAAAAACATTTTAACAATTAAGTTTTGCTCAATTAATAAACGCACCGAGCGTTAATCGTTAAATTAATTATTAGTCACTGCGTCAGACTTACAAATAAAAATTTGAATTGTATCATTTTTAGCAATCTAATTATGTATTTTTATGTTGCACCCAATATGTTCCCACTAAATGTAATCCACTATATGTAAAAACATTTCTATTCTTTTTTCGGACACCATATAAACAAGAGACTCAAATCCCTTATTTCATTTTTAACGACACCATCAAAATATTTTGATTTTAAAACTTCCTCCATCTATGTGCAAAGTGTGATTGCGAGGATGCTTGCGAGTGATCGTGTGTGTGTGTGCGTGTGTGTGTGTGTGTGTGTGTGTGTGTGTGTGTGTGTGTATGTGTGAGTGCTTTATGTATGTGTGTGTGTTTATGTGTTTGAAGTGTTCTAGCAAACAAACAAAACGTTCAGAATGCCTAACACTGCTAACGCTTTCTTAGCGTCCTGTGGAAAAAATTTAACTAAAATAATTTAAAGAAGAATTTAATTTCAAATTTAATAAAAGTTACTATTAAACTTATCTTA